ATCCTTCAGATATAAGGTAAGACAAAAAAGAGATAAAACAATATGGATAGATAGATGAAGTAGATAAGGTAATACAAAAAGAGATAAAACAATATGGATAGATAGATGAAATAGATGAATGAATTGGTTAAATCATTGAGTGAATGGATGTGAATTGAATGAATTTGTAAGGAAAAAATGATTTAATAGATAAAGAATGAAATATATAAAATGATAATTACATAAATAGTAAACAGATAAGTAATAAGTGAATAAAAAATATAAATGGATATATGAGTAAATGAATAAATGAATAGACAAATAATCAAATTATTGAACAGATAAAACATGATAAAGAGAAGCAAGAAGAAATTAGTCTCGTTTGATGTTTCAGACAAGCAACAAAGATGAGAATTGATTATTGAACAGATAAAACATGATAAAGAGAAGCAAGAAGAAATTAGTCTCGTTTGATGTTTCAGATCTGCAACAGAAATGAAAATTGCATTATTTTTATGATGATATATATAAAGGAAGCGAGTATATTATTATTCACATCCGGGAATTCAAATTATCATAATACAATGATGATGAAAAAATAAAAAATATAAAATATGAAGGGGTTTGCCTGGTTCTATAAAATCTCTTTGCTTTTAATAGATATGAGTGTTTATAAACTATTAGTATCAGTGTGGCAAAAATGTTGCGACAAGTGTAGAACGAATGTGAATGGAATACAAATGTTGACTTGTAATTATACATGATATTACGTATGCATTATATATAAAGCGTGAATTAAATACCCTGTATTGTGGAATCCATCTTACTTCAGCATTTAGTGGTGAGCTTTTGATAGTCCAAAATATAATTAATTTCATTTCTTGGATCATTTGTCGTGTCTTACTTATTCTTACCATTGCAGTATTTCCGAAAGTTACTGTAAAAAAAAGGATTTAATAGATAAAAATGAATATATAAAATAATAATTACATAAATAGGTAAACACATAAGTAAATAAGTGAATAAATAAATATGTAAATGAAGATATGAGTAAATGAATAAATTTACGTTTAATAATATTGATTATGATGTGAACTATTGACATTTGATAAAAACCTTATGATATAAAATGATCCATCCACGCTTTAGTTATAAGCTTTCTTAGTGATTTTGTTTTTAATTTCCTAATCTTAAAGACGCTACATATATGTATAAAAGATCTATTGTTTTGTACTTGAGCCCTTTGGTCATCTAAAGAATTCCTTTTAAGTTTAGTTAGTAATGTTCTCTTTCTGTGACAATAGTTCATAGTTCAATATTCCGCTCGTGGTGTCAGTCATACGTGAATGTAAATAATGATTGACGTTGACACAGTAATATAGTTTTTTTTTATTATTACTATTTATTTTTTATTTTTTAATCAGTTCTCTTTATGTGAAAGGAATCCCCCTTTTCAGTCTTTCATCTCATGGGAAATAATTTCCTTTGTCACATATATATAAATCACTTCGATAAAAGTTATGGTAAATATATTAAATGCTAAATACAAAGGCTCATTTAGAGAAAATATACACGTAGCAAACATTAAAAAATAAGTAAATGAATAAATAAAAAACAAAACAAATAAAAAATAAATAAAGATAGAAAAATAAATAAATAAAGATAAAAAATAATAAATAAAGATAAAATAATAAATAAAGATAAAAATAATATAAATAAAGATAAAATAATAAATAAGATAAAGATAAGATAAGAATATAAATAAATGAATATAAAAAAAATACGAAGGCGTGACGTTTCGCCGAGAAGAGAACCCCAATTTCCTTCCCCAAACGCCCGTCTTCATCCCGAGTCCTTGAGATAACCCGCATCCTCCTCGGCAGGTGAGTCTGCGCTCCCACCGCTGCGAGCCCAACGCGGGGACGTCGCCGGCAGGAGGAGGAGGAGGAGGAGGCTCTCGGAAGGAGCTCGCAGGAGGGGAGAGGGGAGGGGGAGTCCCGGCGACGCCCAACGCCGCCACACAGCGCTGCCGCCCCTCACGCCCCTGCGGACGGCGACCACCACGGTCAGTGCCCTCAGGTTTCACGTATACATGGTCACGCTTGTGCTTAAGTACACACGGACAAACACACATTCACACAAACACATATGAAAACAAACAAACAAATGCACAACGACAGCAACCAAAACGCTTGCATACACTCTGTGTATGCAAATGCATGAATTGGCAAAGTGACATCGAATCTCAGTAAAACAAATCCTCCAAAGCAGGTCCATTGCGCGATTCGCCCCCGCATGACCGCCCGCTTCCTCTCCCTCAGGTGGGCGCCGTCGCGGGCAAGGCGGGCGAGGCGGGCGCCGGGGACTCCGCGCTGATGCCGCTGCCCTCGTCCTCGCCCCCAGCAGCAGGCAGCAGAGAGGGCGACGCCGCAGCTCAGCAGCAGCAGGCGCAGCAGCCAGCCCACCAGGAGCCCAATGCCTTCGGCGGGAAGCTCCGAGTGCCGCTGCAGACGATCGACCTGGCGGCCATTGCCTACGACGGCCTCAGCATGTCGCCGGAGGGCAAGCGGCTCCCCCCGCAGAAGGCGTCGCCGGGGAGCTCGCGGTCGCCCCCCTCGGCGACGTCCAGGGCAGGGGGGTCGCAGGGCAGCCAAGACCCGCTGTCCATGGCCTTCCTGCACGCCCTGGTGGACCCCCAGCAGGCGCGCCTCCAGGGGGACTGCCGGCCGCACGTGTCGCTGCCCCCCGAGGCGCTGCCCTTCCCCAGCCTGTCCCCCGGGGCCATGGACGCCGACATGGAACACGATAGCTTTCTGACTAATCTCTTAATGTAAGGTCTGTTGTTCCAGTTAGCCATTAACCAAGGTACAAATTAATCTCTTATTTGATGTGTTTCGCACGTAGCAAGTCAGTTGTTGCAACTGTGCAATGTTTAATATTGAAAGGATTGAAGCCAAACATAAAACCGCGATGTGAAATATCTCAGCGATGCATACTAATCACGTCGAATGACCTCACTGTGACTATATATATTGTATGAAAGTTTATTTATAATAAAAGAGTAACAAGGATGGAGGAGTTGTTAATATAACCCAGATCTCCAGGCTTCCGCGCTTCAGCTCAGCGAATAACGCCAATAACACTATTCAAGGAAGGGCCTAAAACGCACTTAATCGAATAAAAATTAAACTACAAAAAAGTCCATCTTGTATACACTTAATAACGAGATAATTTAATCTCGTAGACACTTTCTAACACATCCAGAAAAAGGTAAAAAAAAAACATCATATCACGTACATCAAGATATAAAAAGACAAAGTTACTATCATTGCATATTTATTCTTAATATACATCTAATGGTATTACTTGAGGGAGAGAGAGAGAGAGAGAGAGAGAGAGAGAGAGAGAGAGAGAGAGAGAGAGAGAGAGAGAGAGAGAGAGAGAGAGAGAGAGAGAGAGAGAGAGAGAGAGAGAGAGAGTGAGAGAGAGAGAAGAGAGAGAGAAGAGAGAGAGAGAGAGAGAGAGAGAGAGAGAGAGAGAGAGAGAGAGAGAGAGAGAGAGAAGAGAGAGAGAGAGAAGGAGGGAGGAGGAGGGAGGGAGGGACAGAGAGAGAGAGAGAGAGAGATAGAGAGAGAGAGAGAGAGAGAAGAGAGAGAGAGAGAGAGAGAGAGAGAGAGAGAGAGAGAGAGAGAGAGAGAGAGAGAGAGAGAGAGAGAGAGAGAGAGAGAGAGAGAGGAGAGAGAGAGAGAGAGAGAGAGAGAGAGAGAGAGAGAGATTCCCAACGTAAAAAAAATACTTCAAAATCTACGTTAAAATAAATCTTATTATAACCCCCCCCCCTTCCCTCTCCCTCTGACAAGGCTTATACTAATTATTTAAGTATTTTCTGAAGGCTTAAGGATCTATCAACGTTGAGCGAAAGATGATCCAACTCCTCATTAAAGACTTGATAAAAAGGGAGAAAAAATGATCAGCTGTTTGCGACCGCCGGTCTCCCAGCTGACTGATCCCAGGGGGTTGCAGGCTAGTGTTTTTTTGTTTGTTTATTTTTTATTTTTATTTTTTTGTTATTTCTGATGTGCATATTCTTCTTCTGTCTCTTCTTCCTCTTCCTCTTCTTGTTATCAACACTGATTTATCGTGATTTTACATTTTATCATTATATTATTATTACCATTATTGCTATGATTGTCTTTACACATGCTCATTATTTTTTATATCAATTTCATTAGCATCTTTACTATTGTTGTTATTATTTCTGTCATCATTATTATGATTATCATTAACATTATTATTAATGTTATTATTATCATCATTATCATAAGCATCGTCATTATTATCCTTATTGTTATCATTATCATCATAGTCATTATTACTATCATTATCATTATTGTTATTATTCTTATCATTAGTATCATTATTATCCTTATTATCATTATTATTATTATCATTATCATCATTTTTTACTTTTATCATTATTATCATTATCATATTTGTTATCATCATTATCATCATCATCATTATCATAACTGATATTAGCACAATTACCAATATCATTATCACCATTATTATCATTAAAACTATAATTATTTTTATCAAAATAATGTTTATAAGAACATTATTATTTATATCATTACCTCTTTTATCATTTTCCTTATCATAAATCATTTTGAAGATATCTCAGTCACCTAAAATTATTCTCACATTTACTATCACGGTTACATAACGGCATTATAAATTCATTGATTACCTAATTACCTAATTACCATTAACAGCATCTAAGGGAAGAGCAGGAGAGATAATGACTTTGCTTGATAAGGATTGCTTATTAATTGTTTGATTTTTATGATGGTCGTAATGTAAAAAAAAGAAAAGAAAGAAAGAAAGAAAGAAAGAAAAATATATATATCATAACCGAAAAGGAAAGAAAAGGATAATGGATGATGCAGAGAAATAATGGGAACAATGAAAAGAAGATGAGGAAGAAGAAATAGAAGGAGAAAAGGAGAAGAAAGAGAAAAAGAAAGAAGAGGACGAAAAAGAAGAAGAATGAGAAGAGGAAGAAGAAGTAATAGGAGAAGAAATATAAGATGAAGAAGGGGAAGAAGAGGAAGAGGAGGAGGAGGAGGAAGAAGAAGAAGAGGAAGAGGAAGAAAATAAGAAAAAATGAGATGAAAAAGAGGAAAAAAGGGGAAGGGAAAAGAAAAAAGAAAAGAGAGAGAGAGAGAAATAAATAAATAGAAGAGAAAAAGAAGAAAAGAGAGACAGAGACAAAGATCATGTCGAAGAGTGAGAAATAGAAGAACAAGAAGAGAGAGAGAGAGAGAGAGAGAGAGAGAGAGAGAGAGAGAGAGAGAGAGAGAGAGAGAGAGAGAGAGAGAGAGAGAGAGAGAGAGAGAGAGAGAGAGAGAGAGAGAGAGAGAGAGAGAAGAGAGAGAGAGAGAGAGAAAGAGAAGAGAGAAGAGAGAGAGAGAGAGAAACGGTGATAGTGAAAAAACAAACAAGGAAAATAACCACGACTGTCAGGCTTCGCTCTGGATTCTGGGTTAAATAGATTAATAAAAAATGAGATAAAACATTAATAAATATCTATCTATCTATCTATCTATCTACACACACACACAGACATACATACATACATACATATAATATATATAATATATATATATATATATATATAATATATAATATATATATATTATATATATATATATATATATATATATATATATATAATATTATATATATATATATGATAGTAGTAGCGTGAGAGATTGAGTGAAATATATATATATATATATAGAGGAGTTGCGGGAAACTCAAGTATAAGAGCACCGGATTAGAGTTAGGTCAGCGTGTGCGAAGAGAGCAAACGCGCGGCGTTTATGAGTGTGAGCGAGACACACCAACCATTAACGCAGAGTTGGGGGGGATAATCAAGCCTGACGCGCACACCGGTTGGAGAACCAACGAATATGGAAGGACGTTGAACTGACCACACTACAGTCAAGCCGTTCGGTGCAGAGCGTGCTGCTCACCAAGTCAACGACAGCAGCGCGACATTACGAAGGACACAGGGCGGGCGCCTGCTGAGAGGGGTTATGTATGTATCCAACCCTCACTTTTATTCTAACACGGAGGGCGACCGCACAGTGTCATTCCGTGCTACGTGAATGCGGCCGCGGTCTTTTCGGTGCTAGGTCTACTCTAAGCCGCCTGGGAGAGAGCGCGAGTTTTCGTTCTCTCTAGGGAGCGCGCGAGGCCGGAGGATACGACTGGGAATACAGCGATCGTGTAGTGTGGTGGTTGTGAGATTCTATACTGAGATACCAGATAAGTCCAGTTATGGGGAGACAGTGAGGAATGCGGAGCATGCAGAAGGACGACTGCACCCCACCAGGATACGTCTCGGAGTTCCAGGAGTGCGAGAGAGCGTGAGCGGAATTATAAGTGATATTCAGAGAGGGGAGGTGAGAGTGGAGAGTGTATAATGCTAAATGTAGTCCAGAGAGGAGAGGGTACGAAAAGTAGTATGGGTATGAGATACCGAGAGTCTCACGGGAGTTATATACGTGATTGTGCTATCTAGTTCCTAATCATAGCTCTTTCACTCACTCTCACTGGGGTGCGAGAGTGAGCGTACACATCAGCACATGAGCGACGTGTCGAGTGTGCCAAATCAGAGTGCGGACGAAGCAGCTCCTAGTGAGTGAGAGCACAGCAGAGTGAGCGAGATCACCACGGAGGTACATAGCTGACATGGACGTATGTTACAAGTGAGTTACTTTTTAAGAACTCCCGTGAGAGAGTTAATATAATGCATTATATTCACTGAAATGATGAGAAAGCTTTGTTCTGTGGTGAGCGTATGCTCGTTGAAATGGTGACGCGTGTGGTATTATCCTCCTGTCGGCGTAATAGGGCGCGATAATGGGTCGCGAAACTCACACTCGAAGAGTGAGCGCGAGAACGTTTAATGCGAGAGATTAATACTTGGACGAAAATGAGAACGCCATCCCTACTCATTCTTTTAGATAGAAACCCCAACTGCCTACCCGACCTGACCTTCTTGACCTTGCTTACCCCAGGAGGCCGGTGAAGGGAAATGAACCTGTTCCTCTGGCTTGGGAGATTGCATTCCTTGCTCCTTGCAACTTGGGACGAGGACCTTGGGCCAGCCCGACCTCTACTGCCCGCACATCCGAGAGGTCTGCAACAGCTGCAGGAGATATTCACGGTGAGGTGGTGGGTAAATATGGAAAGATAATAATTTCCAACGACTTTTTGTTCTTTTGTAATTTTAAATTAAATATATTAAATATATATAATATATATATATAATATTATATTAAATATATATATTAATATAGTATATATATTATAATACATATATAATAATATATATAATTTATATATGGATAATTATAATATATATATATATAATATATATTATATTATATTATATATATTATAATATATATATATAATATAGGTATATATATATTATATTTTAAATATATA